TGCGTGCACGTGTGTGCGCTCGTGTGTGCACATGTGCACGTGTGCCTGCATATTTGCCAATACTAGGGCTTGAACTCAGGGCCTGGACACTGTCCCTTAGCTTATTTGCTCAAGGGTAGCATCCTACCGTTTGAGCCATGGCTCTACTTCTGGGCTTTTGCTGATTAATTGGAGATAAGAATCTCATGGACTTTCCTGCCCTTGTAGCTTTCAAATTTGAACCTCAGATCTCAGCCTCCTGAATAGGGAGTATTACAGTATAATCCTAGTCACCACTGGTTCAAATGGAGAAACTTTTTAAAATTACTGATGTGGATATATTAAAATGAATATCTAAAACATGAAGTAAGTAGATAGTAATATCAAGAACTGCTTTTTATTTGTGGTACTATGATTTGAAACCAGGCCTTTTAAATTACTAGGCAAGCACACTCTATAACTGAGCTATATCTTTATCTAAAAATAAAGAGAAAACCTCTGGTCTTGATATATTTACCAGTAAATTCTTTAAATATTTTTTCAGGGTCAGGTAATTTCTCTGTTCTCTAAAATATTCTCAAAAAAAATTTTTTTAAAGCAAGTCAATGAAGAGAACAAAAGAAAGGTAGCATAAAGACAGGACAATACACAGGCATACTCCTCTGCTAAGGGGCAATCCTTTTGTGAATTGCTCTGTTCCACTCCCACCATGAAGGATTGACACCTCTGAAACCATGAGCTAAATCTAATCTTTCCTCAAGTAAAAACAGAAAAATCAGAACAACACAACAACAGATCGCCCACCCACAGTTGTGTTTCCAAACAGAAGAATTTGTCAGTAAGAGAATAATTTTTTTTTTCTGTCAGTGGTGAGGCTTGAACTCAAGGCCTGGGCTCTGTCCCTGAGCTCTTTTGCTCAAGACTAGCACTCTACCACTTTGAGCCACGGTGCCACTTCCAGTTTTTGAGTAGTTAATTCAAGATAAGTCTCACAGAGTGTTTCTTCTGGGGCTAGTTTCCAACCACGATCCTCATATCCCAGCCTCCCAAGTAGCTAGGATTAAGGTGTGTGAGCCACTGGCACCAGCATTTGTTGATTTCTTATAATTCTATATGCACTTTTCTGTGTGTTTTAAATTTTAAGTACCAGCATAATCCTCTTAAGTTATCCTCTAGGTTATCTTAGAGGTATATTAACATATAAGGAAACCAATGCTTGGAAGGACAGAAATCTTGCCCAGATTCACTCAGTTACTAAATCATGACTAGAGTGAGAACCCAAAAGTCTCATTATGAGTATATTTGCTTATTTTAAGTTAAAAAAATTTTTTTTAAGTTTTATGAAGTTCAAGGCCCATTTCTACTTCAAAAGAAAAAAGAAAAAAATTGAGGAAGTAATTCTCTATCAGGCCAAACATGGTGTGGCTCAAGTCTATACCCAGCTACTGGGGAGGCAGAGGCAGGAGGGTCATGAGTTTAAGGTTGGCCTGGGGTACAGAGTAAGATCTAAAAAAAAGGAAAAGGAGAATGAAAGAGAAGGGAAGAGAAAACAAGTTCAGTTATAAAGATTAATATATGATCAAAGAAGCACACATTCCCAGGAGAAGGAAGCGTTGTTTAATAAATGATGTTATATAATTAAACAATTTATAAAGTAAGATGGGTGAGATAAAAGTTTAATTGTAACAAAATGGGGTGATAGGTATAAAGTATAAAGGCATAAGAAGAAGATAGAGCATCTATCTGTCTATATCTATTATCTCAAGTTAAATATTAGAGGAAACAATTGAAAGTGGTTAATTAGATAAGGCCACATTGCAAATAAGGAAACCAGGTCTGTGTAATCTCTTCCATATCCTATTGGGCTTTGTTCAGTTAAATTGTTTATCACAGCCATCTTCTATCTGACAAAGCAGTGGCAATTCTCTTCCATTTCTAAGTAGTGTTCAAACAGAAAATAAATGGAAAGGTGAAGGAAAAATTGGATTCTAGATCAGTGGTCTGCAAACTTAATTTGCTCACATGTACTTCTAAGCAAAATACTTGAGCATATACTATACATAAAAAAAGCCTCAAGCCACACAATCATGAGTTTGAGAACAACTTGATAACAAAATTGAGTTCAGAGAAGTTACCATTGTATAATACCATGTATGTTGTAAAAACTATTTAAAAAAACAGAAGTTTAGCCAGGAGCCAGTGGCTCACGCCTGTAAGCCTAGCTACTCAGGGGGCTGAGATCTGAGGATTGCAGTTCAAAGCCAGCTTGAGCAGGAAAGTCCGTGAGACTCCAATAAACCATCAGAAAACCAGAAGTGGCACTGTGGCTCAAGTGGAAGAGCACTAGCCTTGAACTAAAGAGCTGAGGGACAGCACCCAGGCCCAGAATTCAAGTCCCACAGCCGACCAAAAAAAAAAAAAAGTTTAAAAGTTACACTTTTACATAAAATTTTAGTGTGGTGTGGATGCATGTGTGTGCATACGTGCACATTCACTTGCACACATGCAAGTGTCATTGTGCCATTTTCAGTCCTGGGTTTGATCTCAAGGCCTGGGTGCTATTCCTCAAGGCTAGTGTTCTACTGCTTGAGCCACAGTTCCACTTCCAGCTTTTTGGTGGTTAATTAGAGCTAAGAGGCTCTTGAGTTAGTCCTCCTGGGCTAGGATTCTGAGTAGCTAGGATTATAGACATGAGCCACCACACCAGTACCTGGCCATTTTAGGGATTTTTTTTTGGGGGGGG